CAGGGTCATAGGTCTGGTACTTGTCCATCTTGCGGAATTCTTCTGCATCACCTTCGTCCATCTCTTGCTTGCTCAAAGGCTTGCTCTCCTCATTGTCTGAGTCCTCATAGGCCTGGTCCACGTCATCCTCGCACACGATGGTGTCTTCTGTTGGCGAATACAGTGCACCCACAAAGATTCCAGCCACGAGCTCTCTTGGCCTCTGGAGTCATCTCACCAGACTCTCCTGCCCATGCCCGTCTTGCAGACATGCCCAAATCCATAGGTGCTGCCTCATCACCGCCCACATCAGCCGTAGGTCTTGATGCCCACGAAGGACCTGATTGCACAGGAAAGTCTCCCTCGTCCTCCTCTTGGATGACCTCCCCACTTGGCTCCAGCCTGGGGCTCTTCTTGGCCGTCTCTTCAGTCGGGATCAGGTTAGGTGTCTGTGGCAAGGCAATATCAGCCTTCCTCTTTGGCCTGCCGATGGTTGTGCCCATGTCCCATGGCACTCCAATCATCTTCTCCATCAGCTCCCTGTTGTAGCGCCTGCTGCTGTATAGTCTGCGCACACTCCTGGCCGTCACTGTCCCTTCCTCTGTTCCCAGTAGGTATTCATTACTGGTCACACTTCTCCCAAGGAAGATACCCTGACGCCATGCCGTCTCCCCTTTGGGCACCACTGCCCTGTTGTGGGATCTCCTGGCCTTACTCATGGGGATCTTGAAGAGCACCGTCTCACCAAAGGGCACCAGCTGCGAGGTGTATGCCGTGTCGAAGGCATCTTGATATGCTGTCCTTTGGTTGCCCTTGACGCTGAATCTGCTCCTGATGAATGAGCACCACCTCACCAGCCATGGCCACAGGTTGTGTGAGGTGTGGAGCGTGATGCCATAGCTTGCTTCTGTCTGATACCTGAGGGTGAGGACGTCGCCACGGAGCAACTTCTGGAATGCTCCCATGGTTCCAAGGCTCTCAGATGAGTACCTTGGCACTTCCTCGAATTGGACCTTGAGTCCCTCAGCTCCTGGAGCTTTCCCTTCTCGCAGAGCACCGGCTATCTTGGCAACAATCTTCTTGATCACAGGCTCGTTGTCACTTCGGAGTTTCACCTGCATGTAGCCCAACTGTGCTATGAAGGATGTCACCGTCTTGATCACATAGGGCGTCTCCAGGTTCTTGCCAGAAATGGACATCGCCAGGGCCATCCCGGTGCCACTGTCCACGATGGAGAGGATTGTGTCTGAGCTCTCCTCGAACCGCTCTGCAATGGATGTGTCTGTCTTGAGGAAACTGTAGTCCAGCTCGAAGTGGTTCTCAGCCAGCTTCTGCTCCATTGTTCTGCGTCGATGAGGATCATCCATTGCATGGCCTCTGGTGCAAAACTCACACCAAGGTGCTGGCGGCAGATGTGTGATCAGGTGCCGCTCCACTTCCTCCGTGTCCGGCTTCTGGGGTACAGGCACATAAGAAACATCAGGTTCTCTGCCCTCACGCAAGGCTTGCTGTCGGGCAGAGTTTCTCTCAACGTAGTCGCGTGCCCGTGCCCTCCTGATCGACAAGGCTCTCTCTGCAGCCTGCAACCTTTTCCACAATGTGTGCTTGTCACCATAGATAGGCTCCTTGAGCTCTCGAAGTCTGGCTCTCATATCCTCCACCTTGCTCCATCCATGTAGTCGTGGACGATCAGCTCGAGCATGGGCCTCATCCTCCGCAAACTCAGGTGGGATGGGGACCGTCTCGATCCCTTCACCCTCATCTTCGATGCCTGCATACTCCCACTCATATTCTTCTCCTTGTCCAGCCACAGGTGCCACCACACCCGTGCTCAACTCGATGTCCATGGGGATCGTCTCGTCGTCCCGCACCTTGGCATAGTAGGAGTTGCAGTGAAGGTACAGAGGAATCTTGAAGTCCAGCTGGGGGTGTGTGAGGAAAGGCTTCATGGGATTCCTCATGTCTGCTGCAAAGCCATTCCTGCTCATCTTCCCAGCACTCAGGACATCCTTACTGGCCTGCTCGCTGACCTTGAACTCTGTGACTGCATTCAGGAACTTGTTGTCCTCGCCGATGATCTTGTAGTTCACCTTCTTCTTGCCAAGTCGTCCAAGGCACTGTCCTGAAATGCACATCAGTTTCACCTCACTCGGCAGTTGCCGCCAAAGCTCGGCCGACACAGATGCTCATCACTGCCTGAATCCCACAAGAGGTACTTGATCTCCTTGTCAGGCGACTGGGACGCCAGCAAATGCCAATCCGATGGCTGCTTGCTTCGGTGAATCATCATCACCCACATCTCGTCTGAGTACTCGTCCTCAATGTCGAACACATCTTCAGCATCTGCCCAGTTCACACGCTCTCCATCACCAGGCAACCAGTAGTACACTGCATTTGCGCTCTGTCCACCAACGGGGGATGCAGATCCAGTTGCCGTAGACGATGTCGCTGTGATGGCATTGGTGCTACCACCTTTTCCTTTTCCCTCACGCTTGGCCTTGTCTTTGGCCAGCAATCGGCAATCTGCTTTCTTGTGCCCCCATTTTCCACAGTAGGAGCACTCGCCGTTGAACTTCTTTGGAGGAGGTGGCTTTCCCTTCTTGTCAAACTTGCCACCCTTGTTGACTCCTTTGTCACTCTTCGATTTGCCACCTTTCTTGCCCTTGTCAATGGACACTGCACCAACATCCATGGGTGCTGCTCCACCATCGTCCTTGCCCAACTCGCCCTTGGCGTTGTAGTATTGCCCTGCTTGAAGGAAATCTCGCACGAACTTCTTGGCTCGCTCATAGTTCGTCCCAACTTGAGCTCCAGCGGTCCTCAGGGCTGACCTCAATGACATGGGCGCATGCTTCATGAGGACTGCAATCTTTGTGGAGTCCGAGACATGCTCCTTGGCCTGGATCTCATAGCGCCTCGTCAGCACTTCCCAACTCTCCAAGGATTCCAGGAAGTCGTTCTCCTTGACGGTCTCCCATGCTGGGGCGATGATGCTCATCAGCATGGCTGTACGCCTTCCTCCAACATCGGGCTCATAGGCCTCGCAGAGGGCTTTCCAAGCCTGGAAGCTGTTCCCATTCTCCACATTCATCAACACCTGTAGGGCCCTGCCATCAACGCTCTGGGTGAGGAGGTTGAACAGGATGATGGCCTTCTCTTGGGCGTGTTGCCCCATATCGCTCAAGATCAGGTCGCTGTACCGGTTGGCATTCTCTGCAGCTTGGATGAGGGCCTGATAGCTCGTATCCAGCAAGTTGAGGTACCCTCTTGCCACGAAGACCCAAGCTGCCCATTCTTCCTCTTTGCCTGAGAAGCTTTTCAACTTGCCAATGGCTCGGGTGTCGATGAGACCACTGCCGCCGACCTGCTGAGCTGGAAGGGTTGGCTGAGCTTGCTGCTGCTGAGCTTGTTGTTGAGGTAGAAGACCTGCTTCAGCTGCCGCTGCCAGGGAATCTCCGAGCGAGAAAGCACCTGGCGGAGTGAGCGGCGCAGCGTTCGAAGCCATGGGCGCTGCTTGACACCTCCACTCGGGGAGGAATTACACCGTGCCCACACCGCTATGCGGATTTACAGGGTGTCCTCCACGCAGGCGCCCACGCGCGGGTCTTACCCTGTCTAACAGGGGACCCGGAGCAGGAGCTCACCCTGCTCCGCTACCATGCAAGCGGGTAGCGCGCTATTTTCAGCCTGAAAGGGGCTAGCGAACAAGTGCAAATGTCAAGCTGTACAACAGATACATTATGCCTTGCAGATATCTACGTTCCCAGAGATCCAATGGAAACCTTTGAAAATGCAAAGCTTTTAACATACAAGGTTTCTATATAGGTGTTTAAATCTAAAAATGATTATCTGCAGAGATCTATAGAGAATCTTTTATAACATAAAAGCGTCTATATACAATCTTTCCAAATCTAAACATAATTATAAGCAGAGATCTAGAGGACAATTGTTAAAATAACAACTTTTATGGCCTGCTTCTTTCCTAATTATCTTGTTCAAAACCATCTGAATGACTGATTGCTGCTTCCAAAACAATAAAATGGCCCTGACTCAGGAATACATAATATATGTGTTCATATAGAGAGAGCAGGAATAGAGTATATGTGTGTTTATATGGAGAGGGGCTGCCACTGAAGCATTTACCTAAAATTTTGGGAAAACAAAAACCCAGGCCCCATGACCACCCGCTCTCTATATTTAATACCTAGAGAAGGAAAACACTAGCAATTTGTAGGCTCCTGGATGAAACATCGCTTTTTCAAGGGAAGAGATGGAAAACATCGTCTTTTCTGAAAAAAAACACCCCTCCTTTGGTAAAACCGCTGAAGAACCGCCCCGACGACCGCCAACAAGCACCAGTCTGGATCTTGCTTTCAGGTGCCGTGCCGTGCGGGATCTTCATGGATCCACAAGTCACCAAATGTCGACCATTCTTCCGATTCTTCCATCTGCTTTGGTCATTGAACGAGACTTTTGGTGAAATTGGGGTGACAGCATCAAACGTAGTTATCCCATACGGAGCACGCACTTCATCCGTACCAACCCATACAAAGCCCGTAGTTTCGATCTTCCCAAAGAAACATTGTCTTTTGAGAACCCTATTTAACCCGGACGGAACCCGTACTAGCCCATACTACAGAAACCCGTACTACAAATATGGCTTGTTTGCATCCCTGCCGACCAGATGCAATTTGTGAGTTCTTAGGCTCACAGCTGCATGTTGACGGCTCACTTTCGATCCGGGTGTACAGTGTTCTTGGTGAGGTCGACATGTTTTTGACTTGTGTCCGAAATTCAGGTGCGTGCCGTCAGATCCAAAACACACATTTTGGAAAACATTGTCCTTTCCTGAAAAAGATCGTTTTTATTTTGTTTTCATGTACTGTACTACGTTACTACGTTTTCTTGGTATCTTGCTTCCTAGGTATGTATACATGTACTAAATCATGAATGATCATGAATGGATTGGGGATGCCATGGCCATCATGGCCACCACTCCATCTGTATTTACACCGGGCCACTCTCGTCAGACCAGCGGTCACGGGCGTTCTCTGTGGGGTTCTCGGTCTCCCAACCTGTATCCACCGGCGTGCCGGTTGGAACGCCCGGTTCCGGGTGGTCGCTGGGGGCTTGCGAAAGGTGGATCTAGGTGGAGGAGGGATTCTCTAGACTCTAGAAGGAGGGCAAGTATGGTGATGGTTCCCATCGAAACTGGTTGAGTCACCTGAAAGAAGCTGTGGATGCGCTGAAGAACGGACACCCCCCCGACCCGAAGCAAAAAAGATGCTGCTGCTGCTCCTGTTGCTGCTGCTGTTGATGATGATGGTGGTTGAGAAGTAACTGGCAACTAGCCCTAACGTGATTTTCTGTAATTCCCCATCAAACCATCTCAGTCATCAACCTGAGCTCCTAAATTGGGACTCAGGAACTCGCATCCCGCTCGATGACTCCGCCACCCTGCTGGTACAAGCCCTCGATCTGCAGAAGGTCTGCGGGCATGTCAAAGATCTGCAAATCCTCAATCGGCGATATATTTCTTCATCAAAACCTTGAGTCACAGGCATGACAGCGGCCATACCTGGGTGTTTCATTTCATGTCATTTAATCTTGGTAGACTTTTGGCCCACTGACCACTCGTAGGATGATACATGTATATATGTATAAATCTTTACTCCAGGACGTGTAATTCTCTCGAAAACCTTATACAAAGAAAACATTCCTTCATCCCTCCTCAGGGTCCTGACACATTGCAGGGTACATTCATGTCTTCATCCCACTACTAAATGAAGATCTTGTGAAGCAAGACATGCAAGGCTGAATACTCTTTCAAGGCTGAATGCTTCTCGGCATCACGTTCGCACGCTTCCGAGCTTCCTTGATCCCCATCGCCCCCCTCCGAACGGGTTGCTTCAGGCGCCCGAGGCACGGAGAGGTGCCCCCAGGCTTTGGTGTCGCCCTTGGAATTTCCCACCACGCAAACGGTGCCACTGGCGGCACCTGACCTCAAATGGATCGAGATGGAGAAGACGGAGGAACACAACGAGGAGCGGAACACGTGGAACGTGGCCGCTTCCAAGCGAGGATGGATTTGACGGACGGACTGCGAAGGTGGAATCGATCCTGCGGATCCGCTTGGAGACGAAGTGAATGACCAAAAATGATTGGAGACGGAGAATCCAATTTTGGATGATTCAGAGAACCACTGATCATCATAGTGGCATATGTGTATGTGTATGTTGTACTGTCAGTGATGATGAGGGTCATTTATATTTCGTTCCTTGCAAAAGAAGCGACTTTTAAGTTGCCATCCGGGCCCAGCCTTCTTTCCCACAAGAACACCTACCAGTACCTTCCTTGCGGGGTCTCCAGTGGCCTATACAATACCTTGTGGATCTCCAAGGAGCACCCCGACATGATTGTCGAGGTATTCTTCAACACCTGAAAGTTCTAGATCCAGCCAAGTTTTTTAAAGGTAAAGGTGCGTATACACTGCTGGGTTGCCTATGCAGGTGTTTCGCATGGTCAGAATTTGTGGGAAGGGTGGCTTCGCAAGGCTTCGCGCAACACCAGAGGCTTCGCACATAGGGACATTTATCATGACGCTCCTCGTGTCTGTTCCTTTCTCAGTAAATCTGAGTCTTTTTGTTGAGGCCCAATACAAAACTTTTAAAACTCCGGAAAGTTGGGGCTGTTGAGCTTGTTGCGCTTTCCGGTTTTAGAACCTGATGATTGGCTTGATGAATCTTGACGATGATTGTTGCTCCTGAAAACTCCACAATCTTCCATTGGTCTATGGCACTATGGTTTAAGCCATCATTCCTTTGTGTTCAAATCAAGTTTCAAATCACATCACTCACAAGAGTGATGCTCTTTGTTGAAGGGACCTGCCGGGACCTGCCTCTGACGTTCTCAACTTGCGACGTAGCGACCGACAAAGCTCAAGGTTCGGGACCCTTCGACGGACCTGTCATTGTTCCTGTCGTGTCGGAGTTGGCGAGGTTGTTCGTTGCCCCCGGTCGCTGGAAGATCATGCTGCAAATTCTGAGGAAAGCCTAAAAGGCTTTATTTTCATGGCGCAACACACCTGAACAGCCGCAAATACCTGATTCTGATTCTGATATATTCTGATTCAATGAACTTTGTAGACAAAAAATCGCCTCAAGAACTGGGCATGTGGAGTGGATGATTTGACCGTAGGAGGTGCCCTTCGTGAAGACTCCCGGCCCACCCTGCTGCTTGGATCTCCCACATGGGGACCCATCAAGAGCCAAGAGACTTGGAGCCCAGCTTCTTCCCGTTGAGGTAGAAGCTGGTCTTGTTGGCATCTGCCCAGGTAGAAGCACACACAAAGTAGAGAACAAGTGAAACCGCAAGCACTGAATTGAGGATTTGTCAGCTTGCTGTCTGTGACTTTCTGCAGGTGTACTATCCTATGATCTGAACAACTAGTTGATTCAGGGATCCTGTTTGCAAAGTCAGAACTTGAAGAAATTGGAAGTGGAACGAACACAGTTGCACAGTAGTGTAGAGTAAAATTACTTTACTTCGAGTGATCCCCACCATGACATTTCAAAACAGCCACGTTGACAATCACCCTCGTTGTGATTTTCAGCCCGTAGCACAAGTCCTTCAGCGCCAAGTCCTACTGTTTTGTCCCAAGCGAATGCTTTCATCAGGAGACCTGTGCCTGCCCAACAAATAATACAACTCAGATCATTTCAGCAGAAGTCGTACTGGGCGGCCCAAAACTGGGAAACTTCCGGGGCCCGAGCAGTAGTAGTAGTAGTAGTCGTCGTCGTCGTCGTTATGGTTGTGTTTGTGGTTGTGTGTTTGTTGTTGTGTTTGTGGTTGTGTGTTTGTGGTTGTGTGTTTGTGTTTATGTGTTTGTGGTTGTGTGTTTGTGGTTGTGTTTGTAGTTTGTGTGTTTGTGATTGTGATTTTGATTGTTGTTTGTGATTGTGTGTTTCTGGTTGTGTTCGTGATTGTGTGCTTGTGATTGTGTGTTTCTGGTTGTGTTTGTAGTTCTGTGTTTGTTGTTGTGTTTGTGGTTGTGTGTTTGTGGTTGTGTGTTTGAGGTTGTGTGTTTGTGGTTGTGTGTTTGTGGTTGTGTTTGTAGTTGTGTGTTTGTGATTGTGTTTGTGATTGTGCGTTTGTGCGAAGCTTTTCTGCTCGGGCAAAGTTGCGGTCTCATGTACAAGCTTCTTGATTTGTGCGTGTCATCTTAGATGATCACAACATGTATGCTCTGCCATGAGTGAGTGCTTACCATGTCGTTTGGCACTCCTCCTTTGGCTTGCTGAGGCTCGAATCTCAAGCCAACAAATCCTCTAGGGATAAAAATTGTGGACATGGTGCACGGATTCCTTCATCAAATCCTGCATTTCGTCCATCAAAGCTCTTGTGCCATTTCTATGGCCATGAAACCAATTCGCTTCCATCTTTAGAAGCTCTTCTCGGGCAATCAAGTCTGCACGATTGTATGCCCGATTGAAATGGACAAATTGTCCGTCCGGAATCCTAATGCTTTCCGGCTCCCATGCAGCATCTACAACCTCAGGCGCACTTTCGTGCTCACTTTCCATCTCGTGGTCTGGTACTTCATCTTCTCCAGGTGAAGGTTCTGGTTCCACCATCGATGTGTCACCAGTCTGATCTCTTGCTGTCTCACCACCTGCCGGCTCGACATACTCCACTGGGACCTGCACAATCCGGCCGCCATCCAAAATGATGACTGCCGTCTCTCCACTCAGCCCGGGTTCTCCAGGATCAACATCAATGTTGACAATGCCGGCACCAGGAAGCTGCTCTCCTCTTTCTTGCTGAATCGTTTCCATCTTCTTCCACCTTTCTCTCAGCTCCAGGCCCTCGCGCCACGTGTTGATCTTCTGGATGTAGTTCAGGCTTTGCCATTCAACTCGCTGAACTGATGGGTCTTCTACATGCCCTCCAAGCTTGATTAGCCCTCGGTGCACTCGCTCCACGTAGTCTGCAGTCATGGAGTTCTCCTTGTCCATCTGCTGGATGTTGTCCTTGTGGGCTTGTTCACACCTTTCGACTCGGTGCTGTAGGAAGGCGACCCTCTTTTCCAGACTTTGAACCTTGCTCCATAGGAACATGATGGCAAACATCAGAAAGCCGAAGATGACCAGGCCAAGCCACCACTGGAAGGGGAACATGTAGTTGATCTCAATGTAGTTCTCCTCAACCCTGTTGCCCGCGGCCAGCTCAAGACCGCTCAGGAGAATAATCCTGTTGAGGTACTTTGCCATTCTCATGATCTTCCCTTTCTCGACGTGGCTCTTCTCAAAGTCCTGGTACTCTTGCTCACCGACGCGGCTTCCATCTCCATTCCTGGCGTTGCACCAGTAGAGCAATAGCCTGAGCCGTGCTTTCGAAAGTGGTTTCGTGCCGATGTCGGCCAGGTTCAGTGTGGTACTGATTTGTTTGACCTCCATCGTGCCTTCTGCAACTTTATTCTGGCACCAGAGGAGTTTGCCACTGATGTGGCGAAGTCGTCCAGCTCCACGCTTGTTGGCAATCTGTTTGGTGGCGGAGTTGTCGACCCAGCAAACATGATGTACTGGATCTCCTGTCAAAAACTCCAAGGCGTGCTTGATGCATATGCCATCACATGCGCCAGCCACCAATGCATGTAGCTCACTCTCTGCCGATGAGAGGCTGACAACTTTCTGGCCTCTGGAGGTGGTGTAGATCACCATGCCGTTCAACCCGTGAATCGAAGACGAAGTGCTCTTCCTTGTTCCTCGGTTGCCGCTCCAATCAGCATCCGTGAAGCTCTCAAGCAACCAAGTCTCATGGCTGTGACCATGTAGTCCTTCCCCTTGAACTGGAAGAGGTAGAAGGATATGTTGCTCTTCCGTCTCTTTGAGGTACCCAACCAACCTCCTTGCCTTCTGCATGGCCAACTCCGTAGGGTTTGACATCTTCCTGCTAACTCCTTCACAACGAAGCTGATGTCCAGTCGTTCTTGTGAAAGGTAGATGCCCATGCCGACAATGGAACGATACACTGACGCGTGCTCTGGGGCAACAACATTGGATCCATCGGCGTCCTGGATGTCTGAAGTGGCAGGAAGCCTTTGTCTCCTCACAGGGCCATATTTGTCCTCGAAGGTCTTGATCATTTTCGTGGCATACTGCCCAGGCTTCACCAGCAAACCTTCTGGGACATAGATGTACTTGCGCTTCAGGAAGGCGAACTCATCGTTGTAGTTTCTTACCATGGACACTTCCACCTCAAACTTCTCCTTCAATTTGCACACAAAAGCGTCCACAGCTTTCTGCCTTCCAGTGAACATCACATCATCGACATGTACTAGCACACAGATCAGTTCACTGTCCGTGCCCTTCTTTCCAAGGCATGGGTTCACCACATCAAAGGCGAAGTTGAGCTCCTCCTCAAGGTAAGTTCTCAAGAACTCATACCATGCCTTTGCTCCAATCCTCTGACCTGGAATGTTCTTGAGGACCTTGTAGTAGCCAGTATTGGTCGTGATCTGAAGAGGTCGTTCTTGGGGAACCTGCAGGAATGCATCCTTTATGTCAAGTGCACCCAACACTGGAGGTCCTTGCTCTCCATCAATGCCCTGACTCACCACAATGTTGTTCAGGAACAATGCAGGCAGAAGTCGAAGAGAGTGTTGTCCCGAAGCTGGGCTATAGACTTCATCGCATCGATCATTTGCATATTCTCTGGCTACCAGCCTCGCTCTCCTCAACCAGCGCTTCCTTGACTTCCCATCAGGTTGTGGATAGGGCTTAATCCTCCAATCATGGACAAAGCGAGTAGTGAGCTTGTCCAAATGAGCGTCCTCTGGTTTGAGCTTCTCCATGACATCCATCCTCATCAATCTCTGCTCCTCCACCTTGTTCGCCAAGAGGTCTACCTCCCAACTTGGATCAGGAGGTGTTTTCGTCAAGGGAGCATCACTCCAGAGCTCTTCAGGGATGGCGCCAGGTTTCAAGTCCTCAACGTCCTCTTCTCCTTCTTCAATGGCCATCGTCTCAACATCCACCACTTCGTCCAGGTGGTACATGGTGTCTCCTCCAACACACACCTTCTCCACTCTGCGCTCCACGAGTTGTTGATGTCCAGATGAGCTTGCTCCTCCTTCTGGTGGCTTCTCTGTTCTCGCCCGTTTGGCCTCTGGCTCGGCCCTGACTGCAGATTCTGGAGGAGGGAGTTTCTTCAGAACTCGTCCTTCAGGAGGTAGTGCGTCCTCATCCCAAGGAAGCGGTTCAATGACCATTGGAATTTCTCCTCCTGCGCCCCTCTCCCCAGGTTGATCTCCAAGAGCTGGGGGTGTCAGCAATCCTCCACTGGGCTCTCCTCTCTGTGGGGCTGATGGTGCTGGTTCTCCAGCCTCTGCAATCATTGCTGGTGCATCAGGCTCACGGGCCTCATCTATCTCTCTTTGGCTTTCCTCCTGGCCCTCTTTGGACAATGCATAGCGCTCTACCTCCTCAGCTTCTTCATCTCGATACCTAAACAGGATTTCATCTCGAGGAGGTGCTGGACCAAGTTGCAGTGGAACCGCACTTGCTGCTCGCTTGCTAGGAACAATGCGCCCACCAAAGTTAATCTGATACTCATAGGTGAAGGTGGCAAAGTTCTGGTAATAGGCGCCGAAGTTCTTCCATGGACGGTCCACTCTTCTCACAGACCTGGTCAGCATGACTTGGCTGCCGTCTCCCACGATCCAGGAATCTTGACCCTCAGTCTTTCCAAGAAATAGGGTCATCCGCCATCGAGGGTTGCCCTTACCTGACTGGGGCTTCACAAAAGCATACACTGGGCATCCACAAGGAACCAAAGCTCCATTGTAGGTCTTGCCGTGGACCAGTTCGTGACTTGTGATGCCCTTCGTTGCTTGAAACTTGTTCAACAGCCAGCATGCGTGACGCGCCGCCCAACTCCACAATCCATGGTTGGTATTGAAAACCTGACCAGTCTTTGCCATGACCTCACCCATCAATGTGCATGCAAGGCCTCGTACTCGTTGAATGGCGTTCTCAGCAAGGGAGTTGCCTGCAGAATCTTTCACCTTTGTGGTGTACAAACGAGTTCGAAGTCCCATAGCATGCCTGCTATTCAAAAGAATCCGGAGGAGGGAGCGAATTGTCGGCTCATTGTCCCCATATAGTCCAATCTCAACATGGCCTAAACTCTGGACAAAGTTCATGATCTCTCTGGCCATGAGGTTCAATTGTCCTTTCGATTGGAGGGGAACAGCTCCCAAGCTTCCTGTTTGGCTGCAAACCATGATCAGCCAGAAAGATGACTTTAGCTCTCTGATCCTGGGCTCTCTAGCCTCTGGTTGCTCCTCCTGGTCATAGAGGTCGATCGCCATTCCATCATCATCAGGATCATGGCCTGGATCTCGAACGGTGGGTGCCCTGTCCACTTCGCCAGCTTTGGTGTAGGCAAAGTCCAAAGAGATGATTGGGATACCACCAGTGTGAGAAGATCCTGTCCTCAGGTGTCTGTCTGGCCTTCCTCGGTACTTCAAGCAGACTTCGCACCACGGCTGATATGGCACGTGTGTGAGTGCATGAAGGTCCTGTACCTGCTGCGAAGGGACCGGATGATATTCTGCATCTTTGGTTGTCTTGCCATCTGCAACTCTGCGGCTGCAACTGCTTCTGATGCCGCCTTCAGCTCACATTCTTTGAGATGGCTCACAATTCTCTGAAAGCATTTCAGCCGACTGCCTGACTGGCTGATGCCATAAAAGTGACAGGCTGCTCGGAGTTCTCTGAGTTTGCTTGTCGCTGTCAACTGAATGTCATTCACTATCACATGGTCCGGCAAGCCAGCTTCTAGCACCAAACGGCCTTCTTGCTCATCTGCTGCTGCTCCATCACCAGCAGCTGCCACCTCAACAGCTGTTCGATCATCAACTGCTTCTGCACCATCATCTTCTGTCTCCTGAAGCCTCTGGGGCTCTTCCATCGGGATCTCGTGCTCCCTCAATGCCATGGCACCTGGCTCAACTCTTGGCCTCAAATCAAGACCAGTCTCTACTTCGAATCCCATCTCCTCAGTGCTCACCTCCTCAGGAGTGAGGATGGTCACGATCAAGGTGTTGTCCTCGACATTCTCAATCTCCTCCTCCTGATCTGCAAGTCCATGGAGGTTCTCGCACATCTCATAGAGTTGCCACTGACCTTTCACTCTCACCAGCGTGGTTCGCCTCCAATCTGTCGTCGAAGGAATCTCGCCCACGAACTGTGGTGTCTGGAACTTCTTGGCCAGATGTACTCCAACCCATCGGTTGTCCACTTGCTTCCATCCAACTTGGTATCTCGCCTTCATCTGGAGGTCGTCCAAGAGCTTGGCCTCCAGCACTCTCACCATCATAGGACCTGCAGGCTTCTCAACCACTGTGCGTAGATGTCCAGTGGCCACCAAACTACGGTTTTGCAGCTGAAGTGGAATCCTCACAACATTGTGCCCTAGACCAAACGTCATGGAATGTTGGCCTCCACTCATCTGCCCCGCTTCTATGTTCCAGCCTGCCTCCATCAACTTGCCATATGAAATGATGGGTTGGCTAATTTCATCTGAGAAGTGGGCCTTGTCGAAGATCTGCACTTCCTTGTCGTTGTCTGCCTTGAAAATGAAGCAGACCTGCTTGTAGCCGCGCACCTCAATTGGTACTCCTTGAGCATCTTGGAGCTTGGGTGCGCCCTCATCCAACTCGGTGCCAATATCCAAGTAGGAGCTTGGAAGGATGGTTGCATCAGCTCCTGAATCGATGATCACCTTCACGTGATCCTCTTCTCGCATGCAATTCTGATGCCCTCGCACAGCCATGATGTGGTAGATCTCCTGAACGTGGTCGTCATTGGGCTCGTGCTCTTCAGAGATGGAGAAAAACTGTACCATTCTGATCTGTCTACCAGCTGTGCTCGGCATCGACATTGGCCTCAAGTCAAAAACCATGGGCTCATTCTCAAATTCAACTTGTGAAACTCCTTCAACTCTTTTCACTGACCCAGACTTCCAGCTTGCACCTTGGCTCGAAGTGGTAGTGCTCGAAGCCACCGTCCCAGTTTCTGCGCTCGGCTTAGCATTGGGAGACTCTTCACTCACCTGTCGAAGCCTCTGCCAGCAATCCTTCGAGAAGTGTCCTGCTTTGCCACAGGTGAAGCAAGTCTTTTGGTCTGACTTGCCTTTTTGACCTTTCTGGCCTTCTCCCTTGCCAGCGCTCTTCTGCTGGGATTTGCCACCGAAGTCCTGGGATTTTCCATAGCCTTTGCCCTTGCTCTTGCCTTTCTGCTCGCCCTTGCCTTTGCCCTTCCTGTCGAAGTCCTTGCCCTTGCCTTTGCCTTTGCTGTAGTCGTTGCCCTTTCCTTTGATGCGGTCAATCTCCATCGGCACCACACCTTCTCCGCCTCCAGGATCAGCTCCGAGCATCATCACATTCGTCCACTTCATCGTCGCGTTGTCATACTGCACGATGGCCTCTCGGAGCTTCTGGTAATCCTGGGACTCGGCAACGTTCAGCTGGAGCCACATTTTGAGCTGTCCGCTGATGCACTTCATCAGGACTGCAAAGCGGATGTTGTCTTCCAGCTTTGAACCCGTTTTCTCATACTCCACAAAGGCCTCTTCCAAGCGTAGGAGTTGTCCAAGAATGCCTCCTTTCCTCATGTCGAAGGGCTTCCACTCCAAGATCATGGTCAGCAGACCTAATGCACGATTCTTGGAGGTGGGCTCGAGGCTTTGGATCAAGAGGCGGTAGGCCTCCATGCCATTGGACTCCTTCACCTGGCGGATCATGGCGAGAGGGCGTTGCTTCACAAGGGATGCTAGCAGTGAATACAAAAATTTGCTTCGTTGTTTCTCCTCATCAGACTGGATGCTGGAGTCGATCGGGTCATCTGGCCTTGCCCTGATATCTTTGAAATCTTCTGTGAACATGCCGTTCAGGGAGGACAAATATTGTTCAAGGCCCCAACTGAAATCCCTCCATTGAGATAGTTCCTCCTCCCTGGTCTTTGCGTCCAGCTGTGAGGGTTTTGGCAAAACCTTAAACCAAGCTTCCTCTCCACCTTGCCGTCGACTGAGGGCCTCCGCGGCCGATTGCGCAGCCAGAGCAGCCGCTTCAGCGGCTTGGATCATCCTCATGGCGATCTCTCGCCCTTCTCCACCTCCTGCTGCAGAGGAAGGTGAAGCTCCAGCTTCTCCAACTCCAGCCATGGCCACCAATCTCAACTTCAGGGACTTTCTTCAACCTTAGGATGTAGTCCACTGCAGGGCAAAGGGCCTATGGCGCCAAATGAAAAAAAACAAGAGCCTCCACCAATCCCTACGGGATTGGCTTCTCAGGCTCCGCTACCATGCGAAGCTTTTCTGCTCGGGCAAAGTTGCGGTCTCATGTACAAGCTTCTTGATTTGTGCATGTCATCTTAGATGATCACAACATGTATGCTCTGCCATGAGTGAGTGCTTACCATGTCGTTTGGCAGTTTGTGATTGTGTGTTTCTGGTTGTGCTTGTGGTTGTGTGTTTGCGGTTATGCGTTTGTGGGTGTGTGTTTATGATTGTGTTTGTAGTTGTGTGTTTGTGATTGCGTTTGTGATTGTGTGTTTCTGGTTGCGTTTGTGGCTGCGCGTTTGAGGTTATGTGTTTGTGGTTGTGTGCTGTGGTTGAGGTCCGGCAGGTTGAGGTCCGGCAGGGAACACTGGGCGTGGATGGTCGTGGTTGAGGTCCGGCGGAGGAGGCGGAGGAGGAGGAGAAGAAGGAGGAGATGGGGCTGACATAAAATCTAACAACCCTCACCTGACAGGAGGGGAATTAACATGTTCATACATGTTTGGATTTCTTTGGATATATCTGGGAAAACGACTTTCCACTTTCCTGTTCTTCAGTCTAATGACTCACGTTCAGATTGTATTCTGTAGTATGACAGTGAACCATGTCCCAAGATTTGGTAGGAGTAACTTATAAGGTTGTGAACATGTGGTCAAAAGAACAGAAACTTTGAACAAAGGAGATTCGATCCCAACATTGTCCTCGAAACCCGTGTCAAGATATAGATCCAAGTAGATATAACCAGCACCACCCAGTTTGGCGGGGTTATGGATGATTAACATTACATGGTCAGGGGGGGTCTACAAACCACCCTCACTCGAGTCCGCTCTTGAAGTGATCGCGTGTCCCGCATCGAAAAGGCTCCTGGGTCCTGGTGATAAAACTGCAGGACATTTGTTCAGTGCCATCAGGTGCCCCCTTTTGCTTGGAGACCTGATCAACCCCGTGATCCGTGATCCAAAACGGATCTCCCTCTGGTCGCTACACTCAGAACGATCCAATTCACCGAAAAAAGGCGCCTTCGCCCGCGAGGCCGAAGGTGTGGATCCCATGGCCTCAGGTGGCGGTGGAAGTGGAGAAACAAATAATCCGAGGTTCCTAACAAACCAAAAAGCGACATTGTTGTTCACTTTGGGATCCATAAAGAAAGCCCATGTTGTACGTATACTTACGTAGTTACATGGTACTGTAGTACTTCTATGGAAGAATAACATGCTGGTCACTCAAGTTGTAAAAAAAACAAAAAATCAAGGACGTGACATGAGTTCAACATGCACATGCCCAAACCTTAGACTTGTTCCCTAGTTGGAGCCACACCCACATCACCATTTTTGCTGGAAGCATCTGAGTTTTTCAAGCAAGGCAGCTGGTCTGATGTTCTTGCTCATACAAATAGTGCCAAGCAAACCATGGTTCTTCTTGTCATAGCTATGAATGATAGCATCATTATAGGATATGATAGGCCAGGATATGCTAGGATCTATTTCAACATTATTCAACAACACGAGTGGATACCTATCTGGTGATCAACAGATCGACATGGACAATGAACCTCCTCAAAGTTGATTCCAATTGTCCCTCCACCAAGGGCATCATTGCTCATGTCTACATGCTGGTCCCCTCCCCGATCGAGGTCGCGGCTGACGATGACCAAATGGTGCCATCCCTCCGCCAGCGAGGAGATGTTAAAACCACGCAGGAAATTCCCTTAGGATGCAGGTTACGCATCGAATGAGCGCGATCGTTCTATGGATGCTGAACGCCCCGAGTCCCATTGAGGGAAAATGCGGTCTGGTCTATTCCAAGGGAGATTTCAGGGTGCCCTTTCAGGGATTCCAACTCAGAGGTGCTGCCACCAAATTATGTGCATGGAGTTGTCCAACTAACGCATAATCATCACACTCACATGGGAGAAGTCAATGCTTGTATCCCAACAGACATTCAGCAACTTAGCCCAAGTGGTGTGTTCTTCTGTTTCAACCCCATCACCAGGACAAGTGCCACGACTTGCGCATGTTAAGTTTAGTGTGATTCGGTTCCCATACACGTCCAATCAACAATCATGTGCATTTGCTTGCATCAGTGAACTTGCCATGCCTCATGTTCTCTTCTGAAGCACAAGTTCTGCTGCACTTCTGAATCTTGGTCAAACACTCAACAAAGGAGCATTCAATTCAATCCTTCATGAATCCCCCTAGTTGGCCGCGGCTCCTCCATTCCAATTCACCAGCCGCCCACGTGAGATGGCCACCACCACGAAGTCCATAGCATTCTTCCCATCAAGCAAATGCCGTTTGTGGGGCGAAGCCTCCAAAGGCGCCCAGATCCTCGGCGGGACCCCGCATGGCAGCCCAGCTGGCGGCAAGGCGCCCCGTGATGGAAATCCAGAAAAGCCAACCTCAAAACCATTGTGTGACAGCCCAAGGTTTGCCCCGTTCTGTGGAACAGAAGCACAAGCTGCGCTCCAATTGACCATGCTTGTAAGGACAAGACTTTGGAAGCAGCAAAGGAAATCCCTTTTGGTCTGAATCTAGGCCATGGCATGAGCAATGAACAAATCTCTGGTTCTGGGAAACTCTTGGGAACTGCAACGACCCCGTGAAACTACTCTACCAGGGCACCGACCGTGGATGTTGCGCAATCCTCATATGGATTGTTCTTTTAGTTGATCTCTCAAAGAGCAATGGAATGTTGAACCAACCAAGCATGTAGTTTCCTCACATCCATACCCCCCTCGTATCCAAACCCTGGATCAGGCAGCCCTTGATTGGCGCGATGCCAAACTGTTGTGGCCTTCCAGAAAAGAGCACAGAAACCCTATTGATTCGCTACCAGTACAACCTGTTCCGCAAGTGCGCAAGTCCAAACATGCTCTGAGCAGCCTTAGGCGGATGCCCTACAAGTACCAAGCAAGATGAACGTATCATATCTCATGTTTGCTACGCACCACCCCAGTGAAACCTGCAGCCAGAGATTCCATGTAGAGATGGTCCAGCCCTTATCTTGCAGCTTCACCGGCTCAGGCAGTATCAGACACCCCGTCTCCTCAGCTGGAACCACCATGCAGTTCGCTCAAGGCATCCCCGGCTTGAAAACCAGCGTCACAAAAGGGGTGGCCTCCGCTGGACTGATCCGGAAACGAGAGTTTGTTCGGTATTTGCTTCGAAAAGCACAATCTGTGGTCCGAAAGCGCAATGGCACTTCCACACTTCTAGTTTTGAGGAGTCCCGGACACCAGGATAGCCGGCACTGCCAGGGCTGCGAGAGGCCCAGCTGCTGAAACATGCTGAAACAGACCCGAGGCCCATAGCCTCTAATTATACACTGACATACACACACAGGCCAGTCGACCAAAAGCAGGACTTTCAGCTGTCCTTCTTTCAGCCCTCGCTCTTCCAAACTTGAGAAACATATGTCCTCTACAGCAAAGCATCTGTATACATACATACACACACGGACTCCGGTCCGTGGTCTCCACACTCTCAAAGCTCTCTACGGAGTCCGTACTGCCCGAACAATCACGAAACCCGAAAATTTGTTGGAGAAACAACCGATCCACCACCAAACTCTTCTAGAGCCCCCCTCAAAGCCTCCGGGCATCCACGTGTATCAAACGTGGCAGCCACCGGAGGTCAAGGTTTGACACAGGAAGCGTTGATCGAGGTTCTGAGATGCCAGCACCAGAATATCACACAGCAACAACAACAACAAATCAGTGGTCGGGCAACACAGATTGCAGAGCTGACGAGGTTAGTGTCAGGTCTAGTGCAGATGCAGACAGATATACTATTAGATCAGGCACAGAGAGAAGCGGATGAACGCAAGAGTCGCAAGAGATGAGCACTGTTGGCCGTGAAGGGTTGGACTTTTACAGTTTCTCCGGGAGCTGTTGGAAACGGTTCAAAACCGGTTCTAACGTTATCCCATTCCGGTCATGTTCCAAATGACAGTGTTCGTAGAACTGAACATACTTAGATATCTTTCTTTGGTGCAACGTTCCTTGGAGCAGTTGGGTGCATCCTGGCTAGGAGGATGTCGAGATGCATTCAATCCGGTCGTTCGAGCAGCGTGCGTCGGCTTTTGCAACTCAGGTTTCCAGTCTTGAGCAGCGTTCAGTTGGTCAGTCACATGCAGTCAAGCAGAGTTCGTTCGTTCACTCACCTCAGGTTCAAGTTGACCGCAGCTTTGACGCCTCGAACGCGAGTCGACAACTTAGGCAGCCTTCTTCGACGCCAAGTGGTGGTCGGGTGCATCATGCCTTCGTTGCCGTATCTAAGCAACCTCGGAGTGGAAGCGGTGGAACAGCCGCAGGGGGAAGAGAACCAGCATGCACACCAGAGGGGTACGCTGATCGCTACTGTTGCGCCGTCGAAGAGACCGAACCAGAGGCACCGGGCGCAGCGATCGAGGGGTTCACGAGCAGAACGAGCCAGAGCTGCCAGGGATACCGAGGTACAGAAGTACTACCGACTCCAGAGGTCCGAGAGACGTAAACCGAGGTCCAAGAGACTGGAGTGACCGGTCAAGAGGGAGAAGCGGAAGTACCCAAAGAGGTCAAGGAGGAATCCAAAGAGGATTCGAAAGAAGCCCAGTTTACCGTGAGGATGGTGCAGGGGAATGATGGCTTCATGAACCAGAGAGAAGAGAACACGAGCGAGTTCAGAACAGGAAACGCCGTTGATCATCTCTTGCGGCATCACTTTGCTGCCAGGATGCGGTAATGTTGACACCAATCCTTCCATTCTTCTCCACCGCCTGGCGGCACATCTGTCAGTTTTTTTCATGAAACACAAGGTGAATCTTCTGATATGTTCGTCATTTGTCACGGCTCGACAGTATCACTCCAAATCAAAATAATATGTGCACCTCATAGCTGTTGCTCACTTATTGATTGAATGTATATAATTATAACTATATACCATTATCAACTCTAGCTGCCTTCACCGCACAGACTAGCTTACTTCGACAAGACATCGCGTCTCCAAAAGAGCATCTGCCCAGCCAAGAATTCAAAGCGAAACAATAAGCTGTGCAGCAGCTGCACCTTTTTGAGGCTTGGGACAAAACAGAAAAACTACTTGTGGCATGCCTCAAATCAAGTCCTCCGATCTTGGCCACCACTTGCTTTTCCCATTACAGAGCACGAGTCTTGTGGGCCAGCCAGGTATGGTGAGGACTTCGCTGGGAGAAGCAAAATGTAACTTCATACACCAGTAGCAATAGGACCCTATCGGAAGTACATAGTCCGTAGCCCGTTGTTCCTTGTCATCAATGAAACCAGGTCTGCCTTACCCAAATCTAGAACAACGTGTCCATAGATCTAGAATGATCCATATAGTATATATATATATGTATGTATGTATGTATGTATGTATATAATTTAGATAGATTTAGATCAAACAATATACATGGTCCATTGGTGTTATCTTGTATACAATTATATATATAGAGAAATATGATCAAATACAATAAGTAGTACAATAAGTGTTTCCCGTCTCACGACTCGTGGCCTTGACATGCTGGTCGTTGAGGATGGTGCAGGGATGGCCACTGACCGCTTCCTGGGAGGGTCGACGAAGAGACGGTGAAGGCCGTGAAGGCTGAAGATGGTCAAGGCCGTGACTTCTTTTGAGACGGAGAAGAGATCTCTCCATGTTTGTTCTCGATCTTTCAACCGGTTTTTGGAACAGGTCATTTGTTGCAGTGAGATGGTGTGCCTAAGAGTGCCATAGATCCGCAATTCCATGAGCACATAGAGCCAGTCACTATTCCAGATGATGATAAAATTCCAGCCGATAGTGGCAAAGTAGTGCCCTATTGGGACAACTGTGATACATGGGAAGAAGCTGGGAATAGGATTGACCGAATTCTTGGAGACCAGGCAAACCACGCCATACTAAACGGTTGCGGTGAAAGAAGAAATTCTGATGTCACCAGCTGATCAGCTGATTTGAGTGATGTAAAGAGATTCTGATGAGATCCATGAAAGTACGTCAGCCGAGGTCAGCAGATGAAAATGCCAAACGGATGATCTTCCGAAGACGAGAAGCTATGACCTCCTCGTGTCGACTTACTCACGGTCTTTGTGTACATGATAACATCCATCAAACACTCACTCAGGCAACAGGTTCGATGCCGAGAGTGCCAAGACTCGTGTACAAATGAGGCTCCGGCACAAACACTGAGGCTCCAGATTCTCTACTCTTCCCTCTCTCTCTCTCTCTCTCTTTCTTTTGCATCCCATTCACATCCTTTTTACTGTTGGGTTTTGGGGTGTATCGAGCCGATTCGAGCCGTGGGAATCAAAAAACACCGCCCAAGTTCTGTGGCCCAGTGTCATGTGGCAAGTTCTGGGGATCAAAGGACAGTTGGAGCAGCTGCTGATCACGAAGCACATCGACCTGATGGCGTTCTGCACATCGACCGCTCCGGTCTCCAAATGGAGGGGGTCCAGGAAGCTCGTTCTGAGTCCAGGGGCAGTTTCTGGTCATTCCATCCCAGCTGAAATGATCGGTTTAAGCCACGGGAGATTCTTCCTCATGTCCAACACAATGAACATCGAACAAAATTATAGAACTCAACAAGCGCCCTTGAAGCTCGATTCGCCGCTGAGCAGCTTAAGGGTGACACAAAGGATTTTGTCTCCGAGCTCACGAACTGGTTCTGGACGCAGCAAGAAGGAATATACATACTCATGCATATATAGTAGAACCTCTGAGAGATTACAGTGGCAGCAAGAAGAAAACACTAATATACTGTGGCTCCCGCATGCTCCCGCACTCATCCATTCGGTCACCAAGGAGCCAAAATGAGGCTAAACTCTTGATCAAGGTCAAACTCCATGAGCTTCTTGGAATCCTCCATCACATGTCCATCTGAGGTACCTGAGTGGAGCTCCAACAGGTAGACCCACAGGTGGTTGTCTGGTCCTTCTTCGAGTCAGTGACTGGAGACTGGAGACTGGTAGGCACTCACTACGGATGTAAACTGGAAAAAACAAGATCCGCCGTGGAGAGGTTCACCTCCCCTGATAAGTTTACGAATCTAACATTATAGGATATTATAGGTCATCACCCACCTAGCATTTCCCATATTTTTAATATAGTGCTGCATTTTCCATTCAGTCTGCTGGATTCTGTGTCTGACGAGGGGCAAAGCTTGACCTCACAGGTCTTGCAATAGAGTTGTCGCAATCTCCGTTTCACCTCCTGCACCGTTTCCGCCGCCGGATGCACGCTCAGGGGATACTCCTGACCCGCCGGCATGCGATCGTGCTCGCGCCGCGGAGTACGTCTGGCCGCGTCTGGATGATGGGCGCTGAGGAAAAGCGATTCAATGATGGGACGCGGATTTTATAGTAGGTGTGATCCCCAAGTACATTTTTAGTGGGGATTTTCTATCTATCTTAGATCCCCCTTGGAATTACCAGTAGGTCTGGGGAGCGTGATTTTATACACATAAATCGCCTGCCCCAACATCCAGCAAGCAATCTCTCCACTATAAAATGAAGACTCGACATGAAACAGTAAATCTCTATAAAATCAAGTCTCAACATCTAAGGCGCCCGAAATCAGAAATAAGACGTATAAAATGATCTAGGTGTGAGGTAGATTTACCTTTATTTTGCCCAGGTCGGAATTGATTTTATAGTGAGTTGTTTGGGTTCAACTGGGCTGAGACTTGAATTTATAGGGATTTGGTTTGCAAAATCTGACAGCATCAGCGATGAGCAGGTTTTTTTCCCCTGTGCGTTCGTCTGATTGTTCTGATGTCCAAAGCAATCCGCTTGATTGCTAATTTTGATTGAATATAATGAAACCTTCTCGGATTTGTTGAAAGCATCTTTTCGATCATTGAAAGCATCTTGCGGGCAGGCCGGGCGTATAAAATCAAAAAACCAACATATTATGCATGCAACTGACTTCCAACATCTGCCACAATAAAATGAAGTCTCAGCTTTCTTGTCCACAACTCTCTTCATATAAGATCAAGAACCAACTTCTAAGAAGCTGTAAGGCTTGGTCTGCTATAAAATCGGGCTCATACCACCTCACTCCTATAAAATCAAATGTCAAAACAGCCAGACCTCTATCTGTATGGCGGCCCACATAATTCTGGCCACAAGCTACCACGTTGACACATCATTTTATAGCAAGCCTCCCTATAAAATGACAGGGGGTTTTTGTACTCGAGTACGGCCATTTTATAGGGGATATTCCATGGGGGATTATCTTAGTATATAAAGGTGTGTCTAGCAATCAGGAAGCCTCTGCCAGAAAAACCTTGGTGCTCTTCTAGTTCAAAGCTTTGTAGAATCGTAGTCGGTGACACCTTTGGAAGCAACTGGAATTAGCAACTCCACGTTTTGTCGACACCAACCTGGAAATTCCTTCTGTGGCTTTACCCCATCGGATGCAGCAAAAACCGTTCATCACTTCACACCCAACACTCCGCGACCTCGTCTTGCTCTGATTCTTCGTTGGGCGCCCAGAACACCCTGCTCCCAGCTCACGCCCTCTCCTTGCCGTTGAGGCCCTTGGGGCAGAAGTTCGCAAACATCATGGAGTATTTCCGGTTGCCTTGCAGCACACGACTGAACCCCGCCTCAAGCTTCGTCCGGGCAATGTCTCGGGGATGTATTTGTATTTATTTGTAAGGTAGTGGCACATTGGGCAGGGTATCAGGATTGCATGGGATAGCTGACATATACCAGCTTGTTAGTGACACCCAGCCCAAGGGTAAATCCACTGTTAATTGCTAGATCTCTGAGATATTTGCACTGGAAGTCTGAGATAGAAGGAACAGCGGACCGACCACCAGGTACACCCAGCTCTTGTATTTAAGTTTGTCAGGCTGCAAATGAAGATTGATGCGTTTCTCAATGCCGCACGCCATGGAGGTACATCTCAAAATCCACCGTTTCAATGTATTGGCTGTAGTACAACTAAGTGTGGCAGGTCGGCCATATTTGTTGGATACTTGAAGCGTCCGATCGCTCCGTTTGTAGGAATGCCCGAAATGCTCCGTTCGTAGCGCTCTTGCTCCGTTCGTAGTAGGGCGAGGAGCCCCGAACGTCGCGTCCGATCGCTCCTATTTAAAGGTTCATAGAGGGCTTTGAATGGCAGTTTCGTGACTGTCAGCCTTGGACCGGTTGTTGGACCGTGTCCGCATTCGCAGGAGCTATGAGCTTTAGGCGGGGAAGGGGTGTCCTCTTTTTCGGTCCATTTCCTCAGCTAAAGCGACCAGCAAATACGTTCTTTCTGCTTTTTCAAAAATGAGGACAGCATAGCCCGAAAATGCTAGATATGCGTATGGGGTTTCTGGGCCCTTCATTCAACTGGCGGTTTTGAGGAAGAAGAAGACGACGAACAAGAAGAATAAAAAAAGGAGAAGAAGAAGACAACGACGACGACGACGAACAAGAAGAAGAAGAAGAAGAAGAAGACGAAGACAGAAGGTGGCCTCATCATGTAGATCATGTTCTGAATACAAGATACAAGTGGAAGGGGCTGCATTACCCGCTCGCCGTCGCCCCGCTCCCGGGGGCGAAGAGGGCTTCACCAGATCCAGCGCCCCTGGTGGTCACCGTCCCTTGCATCTGCGGGGCAATGTGTTTGTAGCGCTTGGATGCCTGGGACCCGACCGAAGCGGTTCCTGCGTCCAACGGGAACCGCCCGGAACCGATGAGTGTCGGACCTTGAGACAGTTCATGACCCTGCAAGGGACTCTGCAGTTGGTTGAGAAAAACACAAAACCTGCCAAAACGAAGGGATGAACCAAAGAAAACAATGGTCTTTTGCGCTAAAGAGTGACTTGCTCCACCTCAAAGGGAGACGAAAAGAAGAGAAAAAAAAGCCTCGTTCTACGCCCGCCGATCAGGATCGCCACCTCCCAGCAGCTCAAAGACCAGGCTCACCGTTATGGGTGCCAAAATGTTCATTAGAGGAATTCGGAAAACCTTCTTTATTCAAGCAGACCTTCGGCCAAGCGAGCGCTTCGCCTGGGACGTTGTTGCGATGGCCGGCAAGGAGAACGCCACCGTACGAACGCTGACGCCGGCGCCTCCGTTCCTCCACCCAGGTCCACCGGGTCCACCAGTCCAAGGCGCTGCTCAAAAGCTCGGAGATGCTGGCGACTGCGGCGGCGCTGTAAGGGGTCTCCTGACACTCCGCCTGCGGCAGCAGGCTCCCCCGATATCTGAGAGTGCGTGTGGTTGTCTTGCTGGTTGGCGTGTTGTTGTTTGTAATCCACTCGTTGAATGACATGTTTATATTGTAGCAATTATCACCTATTGTTCTCAAATGGTATATTATATATATACGATATATACATATAATATGCATGATGAAGTATCTGCCACTCGCTCGAGTCTTTGCGACAAAATGTATGCATATATAGCATGGCTACAAACCGCATAATGTCACTTTGGAGGATAGCAAGGACGCATGAATCCCTTGGGCTATGCCCGTCGATAAGGAAGGTCAAGAGCAGGGAAACCCACTCAAATACAGTAAATAATCGTACTGATTAGTGTTGGATTGGAATCCTAGTAGGGGGACAACCCGACAACCCAATGCAAACCCAACATAATGTCCTGGGCAATTGAACGACCCTCGTCGTGGGAGGTGATGCTAGCGACAGTGATTTGTTCCTCGGGTTGATCGCCCTAAACTTAACATGGTACCACCATGTACCACCAATTGGCCCACCTGCCGAAGGTATCTGGCAATCTCGTGTTGCAAGCGAGCCCGATCATTGCAGGACTCCTGACACGAAGCAAACGCTGATCGATTCTGCTTCCAGAACATCAGCATGGATGTATGAATGCAGGGAATATACAGTAGTAACAGCAACAGTCTCATTTAGTTTATCTATGTTCTCAAAGAAGTATGATATCCTGCAAGTGTATCAGGAGGAATCCGTATAAAGGTCTGCTTGACATTCGGCCTGGCTGTTTAACTAAGGTCTGCTCAACATTGCTCAAAGTTCGCCCTGTCTATATTTTATAATCATGACTAAAGTAAACTTGAAAAACATCACATCCTCCCAAACACGTGGCGTTTCAGCACCTCTTCGCGGACCTCAACTCGTCCACCTCAAAACAAGCGACCGGACGGTGGGGATGGATGGACTGGATGGTTGGTACTTCTAAAGAACAGAGCACGTGCTTGACATGGAGGCGGTTCTGAAGACGAGTTCTCTGTAATTATTGTGATTTCCATCTACGCATTTTTGGGGAGAGCCTTTAACTATCGAAAACATGAACGCGGGTTGGAGGCCACATGCTTCTCTCTCTCTCTCTCTCTCTCTGTCTCTCTTTCTGAGGGCTTCATGGCTCTCAAGATCTCAGCTTTCACTGGGCATTGCTGGGCTCTGAAGGATTCGACTGTTTCCATCAAAGCGTCCAGTCTCGCAGCGTCCAGTCTCGCGGTTTTTTTTTGGGTTGTCGAGTGGGACGCCTGGCCTGTAACAAATTACAAACAGTATCAAACACAGACTCGCTGTGCTGGGTAGACTTCATAATATGGATGTTTGCTGATGACAGTCCTCAAAGGCCTACGTATGCCTACGGGACTGTGGAGCAAACTCACCAGCTCAAAGTGATAGGCATTCACCTGCTACATGTCAGAACTGCTTTGCACATATTGACTTCGAACAAAGAGGGAGGGAAGAAAGAGAATTCTCTAATCCAACCAGCCCTAGGCTATATCAATCCACCACTGGCCAAACCATGACACCTATCCGAAAGTTGAGTTTGGTGCATGAAAGCCTCTTTCTTGATGTTTTTGGTGGCTAAAACATGATTTAAATCCAACAGGTTCATCCAAACGAAAGGCTCGGCTCCGCATCGTCCATCGATCGTGTCCATAGATCGCTGCCCTGAGGATCCAGCCATTCGCTTCGAGCTGTACTTGCCAGGCTTGCCTCTCCTGGGCAATTCGCGGCGAGATATCTGCCGCGGCGCCCAAAGGGGTTGGGAAAATGGATGCATGAGCCGCCATGGGCAAGAAGGTGATTAGAAGAGGACGATAGACCTGAGATTGGAGCAAGTGATGTCGAGGTTCGGCTTGGATCCACTGATGAAGTTTCTGCTTATATACCCCAATGATAGTGTTCCCTTCCAGGATACTTCAAATATTCTCACATCTCGTACACGTCTGTAACTACTGTATATGTGTTTCTTACGGGACCACTCACTGCTGCCTGTACTGGCCCCCAGCCCTCTAGAGTTTCCAGATATCGTTTCCGCCACCAAGCCTTGTTACTACTAGCTTCTTGTTACTACTAGTAAGGCACCTGTTACTACTAGCGTGGCACTTGTTACTACTAAGCCTTAATTCAAGATTGTGCCCCTCTTTCACATACTGCATAGACATCTTTGACCTCTTGGGAACTCCCGTCTTCCTCTCGGTCGAGATATGCGTTAGGAACCGCTGGTTCACCGAAGACTGCTGGTGGTCTGCGGCCAAGTCTCAGCTTGCATGGCTGAATCATGCGCTTTCCGAATCTCCTCGGTCTCTGCCTGAAGTGTGCTGAGCTGAGCTCTGCTCTCATTTCGATTGGTGGACAGTGGACACATCGTTCATATACAGTTTCATACAACTGAAACAGCCTCACAAACTCAAGCAGCAATTCCAAGTGTTGATTGTTGGTGTTTTTGTGCGCTACAGGGTTGGTCCTCTTCCTGGCTTCTTCATTGTCTTTCTTTGGGTAGCTGTGCCGTTCCTGTTCTGGCCCACCCCAAAGCCCCCCAAAGCCGTAGCATGAGGTCTCTACACACTAACCCCCAAAATGTGAGAGTGCAAACGGCAAGCTTTTTAGGGGTACATGGATCACGTGTGCTGGTCGGTGTCAGTCGCCTGGAATGCCAGCTGTGTGGACTTCCAGTGAAACATGTCATGTGTTGTATACATACTTCGAACCACCGAAAGTCCGGATTTCGGGCTATATGACTATATGGGTATACTGTTACTATAGAGGGGGGCGACCTGAACCACCCATCCCTTCGCAAAAAGGACCTCTCAGGCGTATGCCGTTCATATTGACCATCCGACTCAAAATCACCCTGGGCTTCTCACTTTGAGCCGTTCATAGAACTCCTCTCTGGTCAAGAAGTCCTGCCCCACCGACACACCCACCGAGTCGTCCGATCGAAGCAGCAGCTCGGTGGCGTTCGATTCGATATGCGGCGATTCGGTGCTCGAAGCAGTTCAGCGGCCCAAGTGCAAAAGTGTCCAACTCTAAATCGGTGGTACAACCTCCAGAGATGTACACTATAGATCATTATATATAGCAATGCACAACAAAGGTACTTGGTATGCGCAGGGTGTTCGCAAACTCTATTGCACACAGGAAGACAAGGCATTTTGCCGTTCGACAAGGCAGCAACTGTCTGCATCTATATAGTGCTCTGAAGCTGCTATAGGTTTGCAACTGCATATGCACCACTAGGACAAAAGTATTTCTTGAAGGTTTCAAATTGACCCTTTCCCCGTTGAATCCTGCAAAACGCTACACCGCAACACCAAACTTCCCCCAACCGACAAGCGAACTTCCTGTCCCCCATGGAACTACGCCCCCCAACTGGGCCAGAAACTCACCCCAAGTGCTATCCCGCATGGAAACGCAATACCAAATTCTGAAAACTTGAAAAGTCACACCACCAGGGTTTGCAAAACACAATGTGAACGCAGGTCACCCCAACATCTTAAACCATATCCAAAGACACCCAAAACCATCATGTTTGTCCATGAATCACCATGTGAACGCAACATGTAGGAAACTCTTCTCTTCCTTCAGAAGTCTCAGTCTCACTTCTTGTGAACCTTCTGGAACCGCTTGGCCCTGTTGGCCTGCCAAGCCGACAGCCAAGCATTCCTGCCAGCTGTCGACTTCAGCATGTTCTTTTGGATCACGTTCATATTGAAAATTTCCCACAAGGTGTGCTTCTTCGAAGCTTGAGCCTTGAGGTGTCCCACATAGAACTCGGCCACTTTGACAATGTCCTTACGTCTCTTTTTGCTAAAGTGGCTCAGGATGAAGTTTCTACAGCCAATGTCTGTGGCCAGGTCATGCTCTTCGTCTGACAAGCAGTCGAACTCACTTGGCGGGGGTGCATCGCCTTTTTCTTCACATTGACCTTCTGCAACTGCCACAGGCTGGGCCACAGGTGTTTCTGCCACATGGGTTTGGGAGTATGCATCACACGGTCGAATTTCCTCCAACTGACCGTCCCACACTGGTCACGCGCAATGTCTGAGTTCCACTGCGGCTGATCCAAATAAGAAAAGAAAAAGTCTTCATCCTGATGTCATCTACAATATTATATTTGAACAACTGTTTGAGCATAATACAACACTGCAATATATTGTGAACTTGATTTGTCTCACAATGACGGACACTCTGCCCTTGAAGCCACCGCCAGAACTCCGCTGCCAAAGACACCTTCCCGCTCATTGAAGGGCTGCAACGAGCCACCCAACGCCATCTCGGCCAAGCCATCCATCAAAGTACCAAGTACATGTGGAATTCAGCTGAGGCAAATCCGAGTCGGATTTTTAATGTTTCAAAGACATCTCCGTTGAAAAAGGAAGAGCCTGGAGATGCCTTGAGTCCCCACTCGCCGTGCCCCAAACAGTCTGAGACATTGGACACCGATCTGCCATGGCACTGCCGTCCCAGGTCGCCAGGTCGTTTCTGGTTCATCTTATTCCATGTGGCCGGCCCTATGTCGACATAGCCGCCATGGCCCAAAAAAACATGAAACGCCCCACTTCTACACCACTCCCCCTTGGCAGCACTCCTCGACCCCGGTTGAGGACGAAGACATCGACGGCATGGCTCATGGGGCGCCCGGGTCAATCGGCGATACTTTTCGATGATCTGGATCCAACAAAACAGCGTGGGGAAGTCATCCAAACAACCTGCTTTCAGGGTCTCAAACAACCTGCGCCAGCTGTCTCAAAACTCTGAGTTTGTGGAAGAGGACCAAAGAAAGGTCTTAGAGGCCCCAGAACTCAGAAAAGTCTGTATGATATTGGAGACCTCTCAAAATCGTCGAGCCATGCTGTCTTTCAGCCGAACGGTCCGCCAACCGCCGCGAACAAAACGTGTCTTCGTGGGAAAGTAAAGAAGGGCATCGTTTCACCAACTTCCCAGTCTTTTTGAGGATCCTTCACATTCCTTCACTTGAATCAAGGCTGATTGTGGACTGCGCCCTCCTTTCAGCCTGGTCTGGTTCTGGAACCTCAAAAAAGCATTTGGACGACTGGAACGTGAGGATTGGACGGGCTCTTAAAGCATCGGGTGACAAATCTAACTCGATACCTGGCATGGCTGAATGAGTCCGGACCATCCGCATCAACATCTGGACGCCGGGTCGTGTAGAGTAGCCCAGCCTGATGATCCCGAACTTACGTGATTGGCAGGTTTCTTCGTTGCGCCCTCTGGGGATTATTGTATAACGTAACGATCCAAGTCGCCAAGCAAACATAACATATCCCGAAATCTCTCGCCTTCACGCATGCCGGCTGCACTTCATTTCCATCTTTGGGAGCGAGCATTGTACGTGAAAGGTTCACAGCGCCAGAAACATCGGGCCGGGTTTCTTGTGGCGGTGGATCGGGAGTGTATGACGAGCTGCTTGACCAAGTATGACCATCATGACTCCACCAACCCCGCGCCGATGCGTCACGCGGGGCGCATGTTTGAACCTTGCGGCACCAAAAGGTGCTATCCTGACGGCACCTAAAGCTGCATGCTTCTGTGCGGGTGGCTGCTGAAGTCCTAGATTGTTGCAGCATGTCGCATGCCAACATGCGACAAGCAAAGCTGAACTATACCTAGACCAGTCAGTTCTTCTGTCTGTGTTTGGTCACACCATGACCGGGGGCCACTGATCCGGTGTGTTGATCTGGTTCGGCGTTCAGAACCACCTGGGGTTCTTCGACACCGCTTGAGAGGAAGCTTTTCGGAGAAACCCAGATTTGGGGGAGACAACGCTTCTCCAAGAACCAGTCCAAGAACCAGTCAGTTTCGTAAACACTGTTAAACTAGATGAACCGCGTTCGATCATAATTATCCTTAACTACCAGTTAGCCATTTGCCGTTTGCCCTTGCTGCACCAAGCGTCTTCTGAACCTGCTCACTGGGTCCACCTTTACAAGTTCATTCCACACAGCATACTTCCGGGCATGTCCACGGCATGTGAGGAATCTATCCACCAGCACCTTATTCAAAGAAACACAGCGAAACGTCGGTTCTAGAGACCACACCCGCATGAATCACCAGTATCGGCCCCCTCAGGTGGAAGCGGGACTCACCAGCTGCGTGCGTAGGGACTGCAACTGTTCCTGGGCCATGTGCGAGGTCCGAAGTCACCAGATGCCGCAGTGTTTGGACCGAAAGGAAACGGTTGGCATCCATCTGGCCACACGGTTGATCAGTGTATGGTTGATCAGTAGAAGGCAGCGTTGTCAATGTGTTCTCTGCAACATGCTCCCGAAAATGACCATCGCAAGATCTAACTGTAAGCCACCTGCCACTCCTTGGGGCTAGGTCCGGTCGTATCTTCGATGGGGTGACTGGGCTGGCTTGGGGAACTATGAAAAAGGGTGCCAACTATTTGGAAGAGAGAGCCCTTCAGCAACAGGTGAGCGAGGTTCATTTCACGACCAAGCCGTCGCGTCGGCTTCCCAAGACAAGTATATAACCATCGAGCTGGCTGGAATTTGTAGCTACATGGGGGGACTGATGTCATATGGAGTAATATGTGTAGTCTCAGTGGAGGGGCTCAGGATTATATAGGTGAGGGATGATCCTAGGACCACTTGGGGATTGTGCCGGATCTGGTGAGCGTCTTCCACCTTCTTCCAGAGCAGTTTGGACATATTAGCCCACTCCAGGATTCTCCAGTTCGTGGGTCCAGAAAAGTAAAATTGTGGAGTTGGCAAAACTCAATTAGCTGTCCAACATTTCAGGTACAATGAAACTCCGTGCAACCGCCAATGGCGAAATCCCTGCATCTCCTGCCTCTTTGTGAGGAAAGGTCTCCAGGAATTTTGATGATATCCCCCATAGATTGTGGCCCCAACAGTGGCCAATCAGCTTTCATCCTAAAAATTCCCCAGATATACCTCCAGTACTACCTCGACTTGGTTCTTCAGATTCAGGTTTTTGTTGTTTCACCTCCAAATTCCCACTTAATCTTCACCGCGTCACGTGCAAGCTGGCGCGGGGAGCGTCCACCGGCGGCGCCGCAGCGTCCGGGTTCAGTTGTCCCCGCAGCGCGGCCAAGCGCGCGCGCAACTCCAAGCCGGAGGACGTCTCATGACCTCCGTTGGAAGGACAAACGGACGGAGACCTCGAAGGGGTCTGAAGCTTAGAATCCGCAGTCTGAAGCTGGGAATCTGCACCGCGAAGTTGATATACATCGGATGAGATCCGAGTCTACCTGGGCCTCAGTGGATGATGATGGTTAGGTACCAGGCCTTGTTCAAAAATAGTGATTTGCTTGTTTACTGACTGTTGCAGGTACGAACGGACAAACCCAGGATGTACACTACACGAGGTGTAGATGGGCAAGAATGAGCTGTTGATGGGTTGGGATGGAGTGGATGTTCATTGCATTCGTTCGACCTATTTGGGGCGCCACACAAACATATCATCTGTTTGAGGCAAAAACCCTCGAGCCTCAGTCAGTGCTTTCCACAAACATCCAGAAAACACTAGTCAAGCTGCATTCTTGCTCATGGATGGGGAAGGAACATGAAATGCATTGAATTCAAACCACCATTGGATACCATTGGTATCCATTGGGATTTATATAAGTGGGAACGGCTCTTGATTGCAGGCATGCCATCCAGGAGACATCCAGATGTCAAGCAACTCTTCCATCAGAAACCGAAGATCATTCAGCTCATAGTGCAGCAGAAGGACTTACAAAACCCTGTTTCCATGACCTATACAGCCCCAATCCCACCATTGACTTTCATGAATCTTGATTTAGAAAAAGTACAGCATGTGTATATCTTTTCATACATCCCACCATTCCTGACTCCGCTGCGGTTCCCGTCCATCTTAATTGGCGGCCTCGCTCCGGAGGAGTTGGCCACATCGAGCTTGGCGGAGCTCCCACTGACAGCGCTTCCCCCGGAGATGCGGGAACCCGCGCAACGTCTGCGGCGAGGTCCGGTCGTGGCTCGGCCAGTGCACGGCGCTGGCGCTCCTGCAAGTGCTTCTCCATGAGCTCCCCTTTCCTGAGATGCAGCGAGCTGCAATGTTTTTTACTTTTTTTTTCACAGAACAGAACTACGGGTCCGGGGATGTTGACTGGATGTTGAGCACTAAGAGTGCTCCAGTCCAACATGCTACGCAGGGCACAAGTCTTGTACCGAGCAAACTGCAAGAATCTGCACCGAGCTGCAGCAAATCCATGTCTCCCGCCCGCAAATCCCAACATGTCCTGGAAGGAAATTCCTGCCACCTTCTTTGCAGCGCTCTTCCCCACTGCCTAAAATGACCACCAGCAGTTGAAGCTCAGAACTGCACCCTCAACACCCGGACTTGCATGTGCTACCGTTCAATTCGGTGGCTGAGGGACTAGTCTGAACCTGCGTATGTGAGAATGCCAACCAACTCAAGCGTCAATTCAACAAGCATGTCAAAGTATAAAATAAATAAGGAACTCTCACAGTCTCACAGTCACCTTCACGGTTGCCGTCCTACTCCAGACTAATCTTGCCCCGCACGATAGAAAACTTTCACATGCCCAGTTCGTAGCTCGTAGTGGAGCTTAACGGAGCTTCAGGCCACCAAAAATGCCACTAGTCCGCTCATCCCCACCTCAACCTCTCCCCCCCCAGCCTCTCCAGCCTCTCCCAGCCTCTCCCAGCCTCTCCAGCAGCAGCCCCTGACCCCCAGCCTCTCCAGCTATGTCTCAAGAGTTCCTCCTGGATCCGTTGTTGCGCCTCGCGTTGCGCCGCCAAGGATTGCCCCACTCGGCGCTGCAAGCCCGCGGCCAAGAGGTTCCTCGCAGCGAAGCGGGGTGGCGTTGGCGCAAGTGTCACGGAAAGAAGCGCAAAGCACAACCACGCACAACACCAAATAGAACTGCAACACGAACATCTGCAACACAAGCAGCAGTGGCAGCAGGCAGCGACTTTTGTGGCTATGAGAGGAAAAATCCAGTTGTTTTCTGCTCACATAGTTTGAGGATCGACTCAGCGGCCCTATGTCCGTGCACCTCTTCAGTCTGTAAACATCGCCAAGGCCGGTGTGTAGACAAATGAAACACAAAACATACACAGTATGGACTAGTATGGACTCAACAAGACTCAATCATGCTTAAGAGTCGCAGCAAAATCACCAAAACCATCCAAAACCCATTGGTTGGGGTGTGTTGAGGTGTCTCACTCCAAAAAAACCGTTGTAAATTATACTTTATTGCTCACACCTCCTCATCCCAGGTCCAACTCTTCCCAGGCTCGAGGAAGGGGTGCTATGGTTCGCGATGATGGCGCGCTGGCTGTTCAGCTGCTCACGAAGGCTCTCCAGCCTTGGCTGTTCAGCTGCAATGAGGGAAATCTGAAAGAACCAAGATGAACCAACTTGCCCGGAAAAGGCAGCAATATGCAGCCACCAACCCGTTTAAAAGGATGTAAAAGGTGTTCCGCGACAGCATTGACATGGGTAGGGCAAACTACAGTACCTTTTGACCCACCCCTCTAATCTGCCAAGTTGGCACTTTGTGTGGGTCCTGACCACCGCAGTTTCCTTGTGAAAAAAAGGGGGTTAACTTTAGAAGAGAAACCAATCCCCGAAAAAGGGATAAAGGATCTTTAAACTTTAAAGCTATCCACTGGCTGGGTAGGGGTCACAAACATCTGTTTGCAGTTCTTACACACATTTCCCTGTTTCATCCTGTTTCTATGCAACAAGTGGAGTCCATATTGTTCTGTGCTCATCTCCGCCAACAGTGCGGTTTTCCTGCGGTTCTCCTGTTCAAGTTCCCGAGTTTCAAACCACATGACAGACCTGCGGTTCTCCCTGCGTACTGGAACAAAGGGCTTCCACATCCTTGGCATCGAAGCCCAGCCGACCGGCGTTTTCCGGTTCGTCTGCTTGTTCGGTTTGTCCGGTGATGTCGGAGAGAAAAAGAAGTTCCAGATGGCCCCACCATCACATGGCCGTTTTCGTGTTCGGCGCCTTGCTGGCCACGGTCGAGTAGCTCTGACGAAAGAAGTCTTGCTTGGTCTGTACCTCGCTGAAGAAGCTCTTCATAGGAATAGTCGTCCTCGTAGCTATTGCCAGCTTCAGCATCTGTCAACCTCCACTTCGAAGCAGGATTCCCAGATTCAACGGCATTCAACAGAAATGGAACACATGAGTACCTGCCAACCAACCGATGAGAGTTCTGCAAACGACCCTCCCTGCCAAACTCCATCATGCTGCTTCTTGCACTTCACTAAACTAATGCAAAACGGGGTTCTGAATGGAACCAGACCTAGCATCCCAATTCTTCACCAGATTGTTGTCATGGAGTAGTGTTTGAGCGAAAACGGCACATGTTGGCAAGGCCAACTCTTTGTTCGGTCCATATGATTCGCTGGAAGCTCACTGTGCATTGATACAGCCAAACTTTGTTACTATCTGTGTAGTCTCTTTGACAAAGCCACGCATAGGAAAAAGATTGGGTCCAAACCTCCCAATCCACATCGAGAAAGCCACACTTTCTTGAAGAATGACTGCTGAGGAACCAGGGACATACGCCATTGAAAATATGTCTGATCAACACAAACAAGGTTTGCAACTGCGGAGAAGAAATTGCTTCACTTCCGAACAGCTGGGCTGCAAGTACAGGACGAATGATACCTGCCTAAACCATGGATTTCCCTTTATGGTGGTCCGAAGCGGGTCGTCTACCTCGTAAGGGTGGAAGCCGGAAGTCGATGCGGAAGGCTGCGCTCAGCGTCTCCTCAAAAACGTCTCGGTCAAGAAACCCGAGAGTCTCAACTCTCTGTACCCCATGGCTTAAAAAAGAAAACAAACAGTTCATCATGATGGCCCATGGCTTCAGCTTCACCGGCCTAAATATATGCCCCCCCCCCAATCCCAACCCCCCCCTCTCCATCATCGGCCGGTGCCGCCCACGTTCACGTGCCGCCGGAGCGTCTCCGTCTGCAGCCGCAGCTCGGCGACCTCCAGCGCCGCTTCGTCGGCCTCCAGGCGCAGCCGCGAGGTGAGCGCCGTGGGCGCCCAGCCTGGAGGCGCAGCCGTCGGGTGGGGTATGGAGTTGGACAGTGGACAAATGAGAATGAAGAATGAAGAATGAAGATAGATAGGTTGGATAGGTTGGATATGGAGATTTTCAGTTGGAATGAAGATAGGTTGGATGAGAAGGCCCATGAACAAAAATATGTTAATTTTGCTTCCAGAGTTTGTATCGGGAGGGCATGTATCTGCAACCATGCCCATGTTCACGTTGCCATAAAACAACATTGGAGGTTCTTGACAGTCGTCACTGAGGTCGCCCACATGCTGCCTACCTCACCTGCCTCTCGAACAGGTCGGGCCACAGGACTCGGACTGACCACTCAAAGAGTGGTTTCGGTGGTAAAGAATTACGGAGTATTACAGTGGTTTTTGGGGGGTCAGATCGACCCACCTGGAGTATTTGGGGGGATCATACTTTCTTTAAGATTCTTTAAGTATATACTTAAAGACTTCTGAACCTGAATTGGGATCTCCGTCTGGAACTTGAACGCAAGGTTCAAGCCGCCTTCCTTCTTCACCAGGTCTCGGTTCAGCTGATTGGCACGAAAGCGTACGGCCTGAGGATCTGGCCGTGTTGCTGGGAGTCAAGAAGCGGCAAAGAGTAGTAGGCGAACTCGGCTTTTGATGATTTCTTTTGCATTGTAGCATCAGTATAGCAAAATATGATGGCAGTACATTCATTAGCTGTAGCCTGCTTCATGTCGTGGTTTGACTGTTGCTTGGATGTCGGTGGTCCTATAGCCTGGTGCCCTTTCTACAATGCCAAACGACAAATGACTGCTAAAATTCGAAGCCAGCTGAGACTCTTCGCCTCTTGCCACAGGGCATCGGACCCGAACGTAGCAAGAAGCTACGAACGTAGCTGTGGCATTACTACTAGTAACAAGAAGCTACGAACGGAACAAGGGCATCGCTGCTAGTAACTAGTAACAAAGAGCATTACTACTAATTAGGAGCAAATACCAACCCCTTTTGGCCGCTCCTCCAGGACCTTCCTGTGCGCTTGGGCATCTGCAGCCCTCTTCCGCGCGATCAGCCCGTGCTCCCGCGCCCCACGGCGCAGCTCGGTCAGCAGGGCGGCGGCCCGGGGCACGTCCAACGTGGGGCGCGCCGCGGCGGCGTGGGCGGATTTGGCGGACCTGGGGAGTGCAGGGACTTAGGCAGTGGGGTAGTGACTGGACCACTTTCTCAAGACCCAACCTATCCTACTGTATCTATCCTTGAATCCTTGAATCCGGCGGATGCTTGGGTCCAAGCACGGAATTGGTAGAACATGTTGTTGGCTCAAAGAAACAGAAATAAGTTTCACCTTAATAACCTCGAGACTAAACCCTGAATAGAAGTCCACTTGTAGGAAACCCATTAAAAACCCCTGCCGGTGTACCTTTTCAACTCTTGAATAACTCATCCCCGCTCACCTTCCAGTCCTCCAATCTCTTCCATCTCAACAGTCCACCATCCACGCCACACTCTCTCCGCTCTCGGCGACGACATCGTCGATCTTCGTCCGCGATCCGTGCGTTCGATCGATCACGTCTCCAAGGCACTCCAACTCTCGAACCAGTTGAGCCATTTTCGCCTCATGAGCTAACTCCTCGCGCGCCGCCTGCGTCTGCACCTCGTTCAGAGCCTGCGGCAACGCCAGCTGAAGCTGCAAGAGGCGGCGACGCCAGTTTCGGGCGTGTCAGATGCGTTGCGATGAGCTACTCGTGCTCGACGGAAATTCAACACAACCCTGGAAACATCTGGGCCTAAACTCGCTCGTGTTTCTACGGTCATTTCTTCCGTGGGAGATGGACCACCTCCCATCTCCCCTCTTTTTCACGCACGCGCGTTCACCCTTGTTTTTCACCCTTTCGGAAGATCCGAAAAACCGTCTGCCCCAGGCCGGACGGCCGAAGAAGTCGCCCTCGTCTCGTCCGGCGTCCTGCGCACACTCGCGCTGCACCGCAGATTCCTCGAATTCGAAGCGCCGAGTGCTTTCCGTGGCCTCAGATTTCGAGCCATCAGTGAGGCGGGTCACGGAAAGAGGCGGGATTTTTGCTCCAAAGACGCAGCTGAAAAGCTGAAAACAAACACTTAGGATATAAAAATATAGTGAATATTAGATAATTTAATATTAAAGACTTACAGTAAGGTAGTATAAGGCATAAGGTCTTAAGACTTGAAGTGCCAGGGTAAGACCGTATGCCAAACTTGCAGGTGCGGATCTAGGGATGAGCTTGGTCCTTGAAGCCAGAAACATCTGGGTCACCCCAATTGGATGGTACTGGCATTTTTTGCCTATACCCTGGGCGTCCTCGCCCTTTAAAAGATTGGTGGTTACACAGCCACCATACTTTGGCGTGAAACACCTTTGTTTGTCGATCCCGCCTGCTTCTCGTACTTGTCATTGCCACTGAGGTGGATTTGGTGGCGTACGTGCACTATTGAACACATCGCTGAGTCCCGCTAGTACATTATGGCCCTGGTAGTCCATGGTACTGACATCATGATTTTACAGACTTGTACATCAACAGTGCCTTTCTAAGGCAATGATGAGCTAAGGCATGCTTAGGCTCTAGTACATGTTAATTAATTAATATATTTTAGGATTTGATGGGTCACTATCTTGAACGGTCTATCCTTCGACCAAGAGTGCAATGGCCCGATGAAGAAGGCCTTCGCAACACGCCATGGACTTAGAAACCTACCCTGCCGTTCTTCTTGGTGTCCCCCCCGAAAGCCACTGCACCAAGGAGCTCAGGAGGTTGAATTTGGCGAGGATATCGTGAATCTAAACGAGTTGGACAACCAAGGTGCCACTCAGTTACGAACTTTTTTTCTCAGGCTGCACTTGGTCTGACTTGCACTTGCATGCAGCTTAGCTTGGCAACCTTGTGGGTGCATCTTCGGCTCGTACTATATAAGCTGGCAAGTTGCGAAGGGTCCATGGGCCTGCATGTGCATGCATTAACACGTATGCAAGCGTGTTTCACGTGGTGTGGCAACCATGTACCAGCCATGTACCAAGCGTTCGCAGCGGTTGAACCCCGTGAGAGTGGCTTTGCTGAAGGAGAATTCACAAGTTCCATCACCCATGCAATGGAGATGTGCAAGCATATATTATGCACGAGTACCTGCTATAGCTAGCTATGATGCACGCATGCTGTGTGTGCATGTGGGTTGTGCTACTATCGATTTATCACTTGTATGCTTCCGTGTTTTTGCAAACAGTGAATCCACCTGTGAAACAGGAGTTCTTCAAATCCTTCTGTGAACATCCGACGTTCTTGGCAGAACGAAGGAAGGCTCTCCGGCATCGTGCTGGCCTAAAAGACTCAGACAGACATTTGGCGCTTTGGCTCATTTACAACTTATGATGTGCATGGACGATGTGTGTAATTGTGCTTTGTGATGCATTCTGCATGCATGCATGCACGCATATGCAGTGCCCAGGTTATATTGTTTTTTTTGAATGAGTGGTAGACCTGCTGATTTATGAGCAGCCCAAATAAGGTTCCCAAATTCCGCTTCTTGATCATTGAAGGACGCACATTTGGTGAACAGGAGGCATGATAGAATTCCACTGAGTTCTTTGGCCCTTAAGATGTAAACACTTTTCACTGTTTGTGGCTGCTTGCAGTTGCGTGATTGATCATAGACCCATGCCGCACAAGTATGCATATCTTGACCAGTCCAGGGTTGAACAAAGAAGTTTGGCAGGCAGAAAGTGATTTCAACTTTGACGTGTGTCTTCAATATGTTGCGAGCTTCGCCCATGACTTGCCGCGGCGCAAGGAAGTAGAGGCCCTGAGGAGCATTCGTATTTAATGTACTAGCGTGATCTAGTTAGTGAGATTGAAGGAATCATATCATTGAACTTGTTGCTATGTGTTTTCAGATTCTCAAATTTTGGTTCACCCAACACGCATTCAATCAGCCTGACGATCTGGCCAGGCTGCCCTTCTGTGGGCCTCAACCTATTACCACCTCAACCCATGGAAGGAAGTTACGAAGCACCAGGACAATTAAAAACAGTTTTGATGTGTCACGACACGTCAACCTGCTGCAGATCAGGTAGCATGCAATTTACCAATGCACGATGCATGCGGTACATGTCAGTCTTTACAGTGCGTGCATGAACACTAAGTCGATTCAGGATTGGGCCGTGGTGGAATCCGGACTCATCACTGGAATGGGATCTTGGTGCCTTGACCGCTTCCAACGCAATGTTGGAGCAAGGCTAGTCATGAACCATTCCGTCAATTGCATGGATTCATGATGTATAAGACTCCATTGTCTTGCATTTGAAAACATGGACCTGCGTTGCAACCTCCTCTGTGCAGACCTGGGCATGATCGCGCAGAGACGTTGAAGGCGATTGTGAAGGAAAAACTGAAGGAGAGATTGTTTTGCGGTGGGCATGCGTACGCCATTCTCAAGTGCATGATTGTCCTACGTGTGCATGCGGATTTGCTGGAATATTGCACTCGCAACAGTGATACACCAGCTGATCGAAAAATATAGTACAGTGCAACGCACAGTAAAAACTACTCGGGTTGCATGGTTGATCAAAAGATGTGCAGGCCAATTGCTACGAATGACATCGGTTTGCCATATCATTGATATATTTTAGAATCTTTAAGATTCCACGACTGATCCAGAGGAGCACGACCTTCTCACTCCAGAAGGAAAGCGGATCGCAACACGTGGGCGAGGTATGAGTGCAAAAAAAGGATGAGGTGGTGCCAATGGATTCAGCAAAGGCTGGGCACGCTGTTTGGAACATAGAACTCATGATGGTGTTAATGCAGTTGATCGATCAAGTTGACCAATTGATATCACGAGTTCACACCAGCTTATGTGCAGCATATCATGAATGCATGCACGGCTTTGAACTATTATAAATTAAGACAATTATGGATGCATGCGTACCTGTCTTTCAAAAGCACATGCAACTATTGCAAATACTTTTGAAAAAGAACATATGTTCAGTTCTATCTTCGTGTTGGGAGGATGTGGCTGCTGCGGAAGGCAATACACAGATTGATGAAGCCGATACCCAACCTTTGCAAGATGAATCCCAACTGGCTTCACCAGTTCATCCAACGAAACTTTTCTCGCAGGAGCTGAATGCAGGTCTCCTACGTGGCAAATCGACGGTTGATCTTGTGAATGACTCCCAATTCGTTGACATCGATGCCGAGACCTTGGTTGCACCTGGGTACATGGAAGATGATGAGGAAGATGAACTCACCCACGACGAGGCACTAGAAGATGACGGTTCAGTGCCAGTGCCTATCTCATTCCAGGACAATGAGACCATCCAGATCTTGAGCGATGATGAAAGTGCCCTTGCATCTCCCCTGCGGAATCCTTGTCAGCCACCAATTTCTGAGCCTGTTCCTGGCCACCTTGATGTCGAGGTGCCTGCAGCTTTGCAGGCAGACGTCAACGGTCCAGGTCCAGCACCTGCAAAGTTGGAGCGCATCCCTGACCAGGTTGCTGCAGTCGAGCAGACAGCTGAGCAGCCTGACCAGCCTATGGAGCCCGCGTCTCAATCTGCAGGTCCGGAGGAAGTGGAGATTTGCAGTGAGGATGAGGGGAAGAAAGCGTCGAGGCAGACCTTTAAGGCTGGAAGGTTTTCGTTACAAGAGTGTTTGCTAAAAACTTTTTGGTCGACGTTCATTGAAGGCCCATTTTGTCACTTGTCTCCGACTGCATTATTTGTTTTCAGCAGTCTTATATGTCATGCTGCAGGATCGGAAGCCGTTGCAACCGCTGGCCGCCATCCCAGTGGAGCTGGAAGAGGCTGTGCACCAGGCGTTGAAGGTTGAGGATGATCATTCTGGCGCTGGTCCTGATGAGATCAACAAGGAATTTCTGAAGGCAAGCTTGCAACTTCAATTGCGTGCATTGATCATTGATCTTTCCTTGGACTATATAGTTGCCATTTCAATATTCAAGTTTCTGTGCTATAGATTTGTAGTGAGTGAACATATATAAAATTGCAAACTGCATTCATCAAAAATTAATATAATATATTGTAAGTTTGATGATGTGCAGGCACAGGCTGCTTTGCGAGTGATGCAGAAAGAAGCCCAACAAGAATACGATGACCCTGATCGATTTTACCAAGATCAGGATGAAGACGATGATGCAGGTGGCAAGAAACGAAGGGCACCATCAGGTGGTAAAGGTAAAGGGCGAGGAAAAGGGCGTGGGCGTGGACGTGGCCGTGGGGCGGCCAAGAAGGCTAAGCAGGATACCAACAAACCTGAAGCATGTGAGCCTCAGCTTCAGGAAACAACAAAGGCTGCCGAAGCAAGGCTTGGGTCTGATGAGTTGGCGAACAATGATGTCAGTGAGAAGAGGGCAGGTGATGATTTGAAGAGGAAAGCCACATCATTGCTGTGTTCACCCCAGCGGCGAAGGGCTGTCTTGAAAAGGGCTTTGGCCAACAGTCCGGCCAAGAGTTCTACTGCTGAGAAGGTTGAGGCAGACTGTCCGCCTGAGCAGGAGGCTGCTGCAGGAGCTGATGCAGTGAACCCTCCTGAAGGACCTTCGACCGTATCATTATATAGCATTCATATGATTCATATGTTACCGTGGGGGCTTGCATGCATGTGTGCAGGGATTTGGCTTCCACACAAAAGCTAGTAGAGATGTTTGTTGGTCCAGCACAAGCACATGCAGTCTATCACAACTATATGCAGACACATGTGAAACCTACCCTGAACTTACACTTTGGCCCTAGGAGGTGACGCGGGGATTGCAAAGAAAAAGCATGAAAAAAAGCGAAGCTTTTCTGGAGAAGCAGGACAAGGCAATCTACTCAAGAGTTGTCGAGCTCAAGAGTTGGTCGTGAAGAATGATTTAAGTTCTTGACCTCCAAATGTCCATCCCTTGGCCTCAATGTTTCAGATTAAATGTCATTTTGCACACATCCCCAAGACAGGCAAAATGGGCGAATCTTGCCATGCTTAAAGCAGCAGTGCCGAATGATCC